AGTGATACAGTCCTCTTTCAATAGACGAGGAAAGACTAAAGGAGGGCGCATTAAAGTATACTAGGTAAGATACAAATTTTGAGAGCAGAGCTCCATTATAGATAAGATTTTATTTTGATAAATCACACAGTGTTATACAGTAATATTTACTGATAACATTTCGAGCACAAATTATTGCTCATCATCATATCAAGTCACTCAAACAACTTTTTTACTTCATTTATATACATGAGTAAAATTGATTAAAACAATTAGTTCCCTTTATGTATTTAGACAAAACAATAAGAAGACGTAATTTGTCTGAATCTTGTAATGTATTTGCGCAACACATTTCGAACAGTCTGATCCATCACACACGGACTTGTCATAGGAATATATATGAAATTAATAAAGAGTTAAGAGGTGAGAAATAGAAATAGACTTAGGTCATATTAAAAGAACATAGCGAAGGTCAAAACAACAATGAAGACCACTAAACCAAATAGCTTAGGTAATAGTGCATCTGCTATGGTGTCAAAACAAAATTTACCAAGGAAGGTTTAATGTGATGACGAATTGTTTTTGAACACGTAAAGGTGGTTTAAACTTTCTAATTGCCAGCTAGGGCGCTTCCACAAACTTTAGGATACGCCCCAAACACGTTTTATAGATAGGTTTAAAGGATCTGTTAACGTCAATTTTATGTCCTGTCTCTGGTGGTAATAATATCTTCCATATCTCTGGTATTTGCATTGAGTCATTTCTGTTGCATGTGTTGTGTTGGGTGTAGACTCGATGAACCAGGCAGGATTCAGTAATCAATCTCTCACGCTCTCCACCCACCTATATTACTTCTTAGAATTATTGCCAGTCAAATCGGAGGAGGATAATAAATAATCTTCAAATTCCATTTGAATTCAAGCACATCATAACATTCTAACAGGCTACTTATTATGATTATAAAAACACTCGTCTTGTTTCCCATCTGATTGTACTTGATTGATAACACTAATATTATTATTTCTGAATGTGCATTATCATGTATTGACTTTTATTCAAATGTCTAATCAATTTTACTCGTGTATATAAGTGCAGTAAAAAAGTTGTGTGAGTGACTTGATATGATGATGAGCAATAGTTTGTGCTCGAAAAGTCATCAGTAAATATTACTGTATAACACTGTGTGATTTATCAAAATAAAATCTTATCTATAATGGAGTTATACTCTACCACAGTGCCCAACTTTTGAGAGCATAGGTTGCGTGATTCCAGATAGTTTTAGCTTTTTAATGTAGTAGCTTAGACGGAACTTTTTTTGGAGATTGATGAAATATGGGATGACCAAGTAAGGTCATAGGATAGAACGATACCAAGGTCTTTCTTGTTTGATCTAGTTTCTATTACACAAAGGTGCAATGCATGGAGGATACACTTCCATAAATTAATAATAAAGGCAATAATATTTGAGATTTAGAATAGATTTAGATATACAGTGGTTACAGTTTTGACTATTGACAATAATTTTGCACTATTGTTGCCTATGGTTATCAAACTATATACGTTCTTTATACCCTGTACATTATTACACCAATTGTGTGTGTGTGTGTGTGTGTTTTAAGAGGCATGTGTATGCATAACGTTATGTAATGTCTTTTCATATAATCTTTGTCACTTATGAATTTTCAAATTAGCTTTTCATTTTTAAAAGCAAAACAAAAAAAAGGAATTCATAGTTTTATTTTCAGCTTCTACATAATAGTGTTTAATGCATTTAGGTAAATGACTTTTAATGACTTCAGCAACAGTGTCACCTTTGAACGCCAAACTCATAAACAGTGTCTTCTTTGGCACTGTGATTTGGTTGGGGAAGGTTTCCTTTTTTATGATGTTTCCGCCAATTAACCTTCTAGAATATGCATTATTTAATAGAGTTGTGTGAGGATTTTCTAGTTCTATGTCGACCGTATCTACAGAGCGAATTTCCCGAATTCTGCTGCATAGAGAACGCATTAGATATCTCTTGTTACCTATATTGATGACACTCATTGTTTACAACGAGGATTGTTCAACTGCCGAAAATGTTTAACGGTTCTCATCCATCGATGCTTTACACTACCGAAGAAGAATCGAATTCCGCATTTCACTTCCTAGATTTAATGTTAGAGAGAGGATGGCACTTTAAAAAAGGTCGATTTATCGAAAGTCAACATTTACAGCTCAGTACATTAACTTCAACAGTTAGGGTACCTCTAGGTAGAAAGAGACATCTTATCCGTTCTCTATGCTGCAGAATTCTGAAAATTCGCTCTATAGATACAGTCGAGACAGAACTATAAAAACTTCACATAACTCTATTAAATAATGAATATCCTAGAAGGTTAATTGACAGAAATAACAAGAAAGAAACCGTCCCCAGCCAAATCACAGTGTCAAAGAAGACACTGTTTATGAGTTTGGCGTTCTGCATAATGCTTAAAGTTCTATTGATCTATATTTTATAGAATTTATTTAGAGATAGCTATTAGTGCTTAGTCTGTTTTTGTTTGAAATTCATTCCAGTAGAATTGATTAGAATGCATTGTTTGTTTCCTGTTGCTATAGTCCTAAAGAAAACGTGTAATTCCGTCGAGTACAATTTGTTTGTATATATAAAAAAGTAAGCATTCTGCTTAAAACACGATAGAACAGACGTTCAAACGTCTACTTCAATAGTAAATACCGGTATTCGATTTATCTTTATTGGTTACATGATTCAAACAAATCTTGCCTAATTTATGTATTCATAAAATGGGTGTTTTCAATTTTCAAATACCCTGATAAAAATTTGAAAGGTCTATGCGTGTTTATGCTTGTAAGCTACAAAGCATAGTTGCGTTTTTCTCGACCAACTGTAACAGTTAAAGTAAGTAAGTAGGAGAAATAATTTGTGGAAACAGTTCAATTATAACAGCAATTATTTGAATTATTGAAGCAAATAATTATGTCACATGAGAGTTATTATAATGATAATCAAAGTTAGGTTGTTTGCGTTTACTTCCTTTGAACACAGAATTCTATTTCTATAATGCGAATAGTCCTAGTTATCTAGGCATAATGTGAGTGAACTGCATTTTCGCGGTTTATATTTGAGCCTTAACGGCTAAGGTTAAATTTGTAAAAAACCGGGAAGCACTGCACAGCTGTTTCGTCCTAGTTTGGGACTCTTCGTGCATTCACACCCATGACCCTACCAGCGGTCGAACCTGGTATCTTCAGTTTGTGCTAGACAAAGGTCGTTGATCATTCATCCTCTTGGGCTGGAATTCAATGGCCCGTAGATTCCAACTTCTGTCAATTCGTGATATAGTACTATTGGACAACCAATGACTTTGTTGAGCATCCACTGGTCACTACTTCTTAATACAACTTCAGGGCTTCTACCCATATCTCTCAGTTAACTGGGGAATCGATATTTACATTATGAGTTGTTTTAGGGATTTGGATTAATTTTAATATAGATTTTGTTGACTGATAATTAGCTGATTTGAATCAAGTCTGATTGGTTGCAGCTGGTTTATTATCTGTTTTACTGTAGACTTTTTCTTTTGGCGCAAGGAGATTCATCGTCCTGGAGTTTCTGTAACAGCTTTGTTTACAGGGTGGGGTTGCTAGCCTCACGCTTGAGAAGGGGATTGTTACATTAAAATATAGTTTAGAGAGAAGCGACCTTGTGGGTTGCTCCCCTTAAAACCAGGAAAACAAAGAATAAAACAATCAGAACAACACCAGCACAGGAAAATAATTCACAACAAGAAGGGTAACAAGCGACAACAACAATAATAATATCACAGTCAAGTACAGTTAACCAAAATGATACCAAAATCATAGACTCACCGACTTGAGCCAACTTGAACATATAAATCCATCAGTTTATACAATTATAGATATTAGTTAGTGTTAAACAAGCACAGAGTGGCAAATAGATAGTTATAGGTATTATCGATCAACAATATTTTATCCAAAGATTCAGTGTTTGAAAGGCAAATAATTGCAATAGTTTTTTGCAACTTTTTGGCAAGATATTCTACAAAAATAAGAGTTTTAGGTAACTATGTAAGTGTAACGTAGTAGTCGAAAAGTGCGTCAAGGTAGAGAAAACGAAGGTGATGAAGATTCCTGGGCAACACCACCACCAACAACAACAGACAACAATCAGCATAAATGGAAGGAACCTGAAAGAAACAACCTCCTTTACCTACCCACCTGGGAAGCATCGTTTCAACTACAGGCGAAACTGACGAGGATATCAAAGCAAGGATCGAAAAAGCAAGACAAGCTTTCACTACTCTCAAGTCTATGTGGAGGTCAACAGCACTCAGCATCCAAAATAAGATCCGGATTTTCAACTCCAATATGAAGTCAATACTACTATACGGATCAGACACTTGGCGCGTCATAAAGAGCGTCGCAAACAAACCATAGACCTTCATTAACAGTTGTATTTGCTCAGTACTCAAGATCAGATGGCCGGCCAGAAAAGATCAGCAACAGGGATCTCTGGCAATGAGCGAACCAACTCATCAGGAACGGATTGTGAAACAAATAGGCAGGAAGAAATGGAGATGGATTGCCCATACTCTAGGGAAACCATCAAGTGACATCACTAGACAAGCCATTGCTCGAGTGGAACCCGAACGGGAAGCGGCGAGTTGGTCGTCAGTGCAAGGGTGACTTGGAGGAGGTCACGTGAAGAGGAGATGAAAACGTGTGGGCAGACTTGGAGCCAGGTGAAAACTAGCAGAGAACCGAACGCAATGGAGACGCACGGCTGAAGCCCTATGTTCCTCTAGGAATTAAAGGAAACAATAATATAATAATTACTGTAGACTAATAGAGAACTATATTTACGGCGATTATTCCTGATAGTTGTTGACTATTTTATGAGGTAATTTCTGTTAAACTCTTATTCAAACGTGATGTCAGTTATTTATTCTTTGCTACTACATATTTATCGCCTTCACTTTGTAATTATTCATTTACAGAATATTTCATCATCATATGCATGGTCTAAATGCATCTCCGTCTGTTCGATCAGCACATACTGAGGCGAAGTGTAATCTAAGAAAAACTGAGAAAGTGTCAAACTCAGTAGAATATAATCTACTACCACTAGATGATAATGATTGGCTGCCAGTACAAAATTCTTCATTAGCTGATTTAGAAAATGCATCAATATCTCATCATACTACAGATTCCTACTCATTTTATGGTTGTATGCTTAATAATGCAGCATCTGTACATGCTCCATGTTTAGAAACCTATGATGATAATGGTGGCGGCGGCGGTGATGGTGATGAGGAAGAAGAAGAAGATGAACGTCGACGACTCGATAGATTGCCTGATTCAACTGTTGGCCTGAATGCTTATAATGTAGAATTAAGAAAATGTTCCAATTCCAAGTTATTGAATAATCATAGAAATTCAGTGGCTAATTGTGAAGGCAATTTCTACAATTCAGATAGTAAGTCTTTTCGATTAATTATCATAATGTTTTCATTACACGGGACAGTTCACTTCTGTCACTGCCCCCCCTATCGGTTTATACAGATTTCATTTAGTTTTTATGTCATGGAACTATTAAGTTAACAGTCACCCCAAGGTGTCTAAGTTATGTGTCATAAAACCAAGGCATTATATTGCTCAGTTTGTTATGTTAATTGCCATAGAATTTAGTTCATGAATATGTTCATGAATAGCCAGACTAAAACATCCTAGGAATTCGTGATGTTGTTCTTAGCCTCATTGATATAAGAATAAAACTTGGGCACTGTGGTAGAGTGTAATTCCATTATGGGTAAATTTTTATTTTGATAGAGTCTCACAGTGTTATACAGTAATATTTACTGATGACGTTTCGAGCACAAACTATTGCTCATAATCATATCAAGTTCAACTTGATTATGATTATGAGCAATAGTTTGTGCTCGAAACGTCATCAGTAAATATTACTGTATAACACTGTGAGACTCTATCAAAATAAAAATTTACCCATAATGGGAGTTGTTCTTAGCCGTTCAACAGATTATTAGCTTACTGTTTTGTGGAAGTATGCAATGGTTTTTTTAAAACTGATTTCCATTGGCAAAAATTTAACTATTCATCATAATATTAATGCCAATATTCCATCAGCATGGTAATTTGAATTGGAAACATTTATTTCCTGATACGAATTGAAAACAAGCAACAAAGGTTACTGAAGCAGGATGGAATGAATTCATTGTTATTATTTATTTTTTAATTTTTTTTTAATTTTATTATTTTATTATAGCTTGATTCCACACAGTACTTTTGGTACAAGTATGGAATTTTCAGCATGCGATATCGGTAGCCCAAATTTAGCAGGCCGACCATAGATATCAGGTGTGCGTCGGCGGGGGATCGAACCTTGGACCATGTGCATGGTCGGCGAGAGTCCTAACCACCGACGCACATGTTTTCACTGCTAATTTGGGCTATATTATACAGGACCTTGCTTGATTGATTATTTGAACCGAATTACTTTATCTCTGTTGACACGTGAAGTTTTTTTCTCGGTTGTCGGTGATGGAGAGACTCCATGGAGACTCGAACCCTGCACCCATCCTTTCAAATATCAAAGCATTAATCTACCAGGCCATGATGGTCACCTCTTGTGCAACGAGTATCAGTTATTTTATTTATTTAAGCCTATTTCGCATTTCCTTTTGAAAGCGATTGGATTCAAGGTACATCCAGATGACGAGTTTCAACCAGGACGAAATGTTCATTCTGGATTCTACTGCTAGCGTGGTTGAGATTTCGTCAACAACCAATGCGTTAGGACTGATGCAGATAAGCGAAGCGATCAACATACGGTATCACTTCACTTCCTATCTTTAAGCCAGGAGTCGGTCCAGTCCAGTCATGTAGCATCATCTTTCATTTGATAGGAGCGTATCGCATGCCAAACATTCGATGACTTTTTTTGCTCAAGATGTCCAGAAGACTGGATTTCCCAAATGCGTTGAGCACCACCAACCAAAATAATCTTTTTATATACCATCTCTGACGTAGGCGTGACATCCGACTATCAATCAAGGGACGTGTGTACTGCTCAGCAGTTCGCTTTGTCCTTCTCTATGGTTCTGAAACATGGCCAATACGAGTTGAAGACATGAAAAGGTTCACTGTTTTTGATCATAGATATCTACGATCTCTTTCTCACGTTAGGTGGTATAATAAGGTAAGTAATGTTGACATTAGGCGTAGAGTGTTGGGCAAAGAGGGCAAATCAATCGAAGAGGCTATAAAGTTACATAGATTGAGATGGCTAGGTCACGTGCTGCGCATGCCTAACCATCGCCTCCCCGGGCGACGGGCATTACTAGCTGATATAGGTGCAGGTTAGAAAAGAGTAAGTGGTGGCCAAACAAAAACATGGCCTCATCAATCCATGAAATCCTTGACAGTTAAACTGAGTCAGGTAGGGAGATGCAGACTTCCGGGTTGGGGCCCGCCCTCGGGACTCTAAGAATCAGTGGCTGGAGACAATAGGTGACATGGCTCAAAATCGTTGTCAATGGCGCAGATGTATTCCGTCTCTGTAATCGTTCATATTCCTTTCTACCATTACTCATTCTGTTTCACTCTTATACTTGTCAAAACTCTATTGATTCTCTTCACTCATTTTCTTGTCTACCTTTGTGCGCTATTTGGAACGTGGCAACTCGAACTGCTGCACTTCGGTGCCAAGTTCTATGTTGAATCCAGACAGACAGACAGATATGACTGCTACGCAGAGTTGATAATATTCTCCTATTGACGTATCATTAAATTTTCACATATTTGTTTGGCCAAAAGTGTGTTGTACCGTTGAATCTTACTTAACGGACTTTCTCTGAAAGCTGATTTGTGGATCGTTGTATAGAACGTTGAATTTCACCTCCGTATTTATTTTAATCAATTAAATAATTTCCCTATTAAAAATTATTTCATTTCAATTATCTTTTCAATCCCTTTATAGCTTATACCTACCAATCATTAACAATGTTGCCGCCTCCTCCTGGACCAGAAGACAGTGAAACTGTAGTTACCGAAGATAAAAGCAATGAAGCATTTACAGATCTTATTCAACTTACAAAGCCTAGAAATTCATCTCTACGTATACCACCACCTAATAGTGAGAATAATCAAACCAGACTTGAATCGAATTCAAAAATTGATCAAAAAACTGAAAACTCTCTACCGCCATCGTCATCATTATCATCGAATTCAGAGACAACCATCCACTCAAAACAATCATTTTCATTGGATAATTTATTAGATGAGATCAATTCTGTTGGTGATAATGATGGTAATAAATGTCAACCATCAGCTCCACCATTGATTGATTTGTACAGTCGTGTACCAGATCCACTTGTATTTACGCCTAGATATCGTATAACAGTAAGTTTCAATTCATTTTCTTCCTTCACGTCCCCCAGTGGAACATAGGGCTTCAAGCTAGTGGCTTGAAGTTTCTGTAGCAGTGGTGTTTATTTTACTGGATGGGGTTGCTAGCCTCATGCCCAACCTTTACTCTTCACCAGCATTATTTCTGGCTTAGCGAGGTAAAGGAGTGAGCCGGCCGGGGATCGAATCCCGGAACATGTGCATGGTCGGCGAGCGTCCTAACCTCTATGCCACCGACGCACAAGTTTCAATTCATAATATCCAGTTACTTTAACTCCTTGATTAGTGTTTGTGAATATATATATGGAGATGTGCTTGCTGTCAATGACTTATTCGATTTTCAGCCATTGGATTGCGAATTCAAATCATGATCCACTTATTTTAGTTTGGGCAACTTAGTAGTAGCATCAACTGGCAAAGTTAAACTTTGAGCACCGGTAAGTACCAACGGACAAATGACCTAGGATGCACTAATCATATGATAAAGGATGCTTTAACGTATAAAATACATGTATTTATGAAAATGATGAATTGAATGTCACGGAGGTGTTACACAAGATACCTTCCTCTGATGTATGACAGAAATAAGTTTTAGTTCTGGATTAGAGTGTCAACAGAGTAATTCAATCACATTCTATACATACACTTATCTACGTCTTCTTATCCTAACAATAACCATAATCTATCCTTGAACTTGTTGGGTTTAATTTTGCCTACAGATTTAGTCCTTCCGAGGTGGGATAAATAAACGTGACTCACAGGTTTAAACACCATTACTATTATATCTGGCTAAAATGGGCACTATAACGGATGCTGTCTGGCTTGTCGGAGTCTTGTGCAAAGTCATATCACTACACTGTTGAGCGTTGATATGCACTTTGTGCTCAACAGTGTAGTGATACGACTTTACACAAGACTCCGACTGGCGAGACAGCATTCGCTGTAGTGCCCGTTTTAGCCAAATATAATGGTAATGTTGTTCAAACCTGTGCATTTTTGGATAGCGGTTCAGACGCAACACTGGTTAGGCTTAGGTCAACCCTAACTTAAAAATATCCCTAAACTAACTTTAATCTAACTCTAACCAACCCTAACCTGTCCTTAACCTACACCTTTCCCAAACCTAACCTGGAACTTACCAGATATCCCGTTTAATATCACAACATTTCATTAAGAATAATTAAAATATTATTTAACAGGTTTCACTAACTTGCTCAGTGAGTGTTTCAAGATCATTGGTGCATCACACTCCATTGGTACATACTGGTGCCTAAAGTCTAACTTGGCCCATCAACCCTCACATAACAAATGGGACTCTTGGTAACGGGAAAGATAAATTGACCATACTTCGAGGAGATCGTTGATTGTTAGCGAGCCGAGCCCTCGACTGGAATACGAATGGAAGAGAATTGCAGTGGACATGATGAAATAGAGATGTAATGTTGAAGCGCTATTTTCCACTCGGTAGCCAAGAAAACAATAATAATAATGGTGTTACGATATTAATAATAATAGGAATTGAAATGTATCAAAACCCGTCATGTATTTACTGTGGTTCATAGTCTGTTATGTAGCTGAGCAGTACTATTGTGTTATATTTTCGATTAGTGTTCTAACAATTTAAAGTAGCACTTCTCATAACTATGTAGAAAACCCTCTTTCTCAGGTATTAGACTGCCACCTAGAAGACTAAGTGATGATGCGTTGAAGTGAAAGTCATTCATTCATTATAAAAAATAATCTGACTTCAAATTAGGTTATTTACAGTTATTTACTGGTTCAGCGGGGTAAATGAAGTTTACTGTTCAATCTAATGAGTGTTAACTTGTTGACTTTCAGTTTAATCATTTTATTCTGTTTTATTCATCTCCTAATCTACATCTGTAGGTACCAACTGCTCCAATCTATACACCATCGGTAATGAAACCTACTCATCCTTATTATTCTGGTGTTTTTCCTCGTGCAACTGCCCCTGTATATTCATCCAACCCTTTTTTAGTAATGAACTCTAATATCTCAACACAATTTGCATGTTGTACTCAAGGACAATATTTTCCTAATCCTTTCTATCATCAACAACAAGGTTATGCACAGAAATCATATGGTGGTACAACTGATCCATTCTCTTCTTCTTCTTCTTCTTCAACAAAATTCAATATGAATCATTCAGTAACACAAATGACCTCTGGATCTAGTGGTGACAATCCATTTGACTTAAATAATTTAAAGTCTAAACCGCATTCATCATCAACTGATGAAATCGGTACGGTAAAAAAGCAGAATAACAATGATCCATTGAATATTTTTGACTTTACATTCGATACAATCAATAATAGTAATAATAATCCTAATAAAAATGATGTAGCTACAACAAGTTGTAATGATAAACAATCGGTTGTAGTTTCATGTGCGAAACCTACTGTCGGTAATTCTATGTTCTCAAGTAAACAACCAGTCCATCCTCCAACTAGATTAGAAAATGAACTACTTGTTCGATCATGTGAGTCTTCTGTTTTTAGTTATTTAGTTCTGTTTTTGTCTAACATTCAATAATATTAATTTATTATGTTTTACAACTGGTAATACTGAAGAAAGTAAATTCATTTGATTCCTCCCCACCCCTCTGTGAGACTGCTTATTTATACGACTCCGGTTCTAATCTCTGAGGAGGGAAGACACCAATTCTTTTGAGATTTCAGATACACCTAGGGGATGAAAGTCAATAACCAGGATACTTAGGTTCAGTGTTTCCTACTGATCGTTCTCAGTCATTTAACATCTATCAAAATACACTGGTGAATATATGGCTTATTCGCCTAGGCACTCCTTTTTTAGTCGATGGGTTACTGGTTCGAGTCCTGCCCCACCTGGTTCAGTTTAAGTAACTCTGTAGAATCACCATCCATACCATGATTGGTATGGCTTTTAGCCTGGTACATGCAAAATCCATTCCTGGTAATTGAGCATAAACCAACGAAAGTCAAAACTGAGCAAGCCTCCTGTCTACGTGCTGAAACTATTTTAGTCACTGGCCCAGCAGGTCTCAAGTGACTATGCGGATAACTGAAATGGTTGACGCGCCCAACCGTAATTCATACTCTCTATTATAACATATGTCAGATCATGAGTTTGGCAGGTGGGAAGCGCATTGTAAATGTTTTAGAATTTTCAATTTAAGTGTCGATGCTATTTGTTGATATTTTCATTAAATGCGATTGTTTTGTTCGCTTAACTTATGTCGCGTAAATAATCACTGGTGTGTATGTGTACCCGTAGGATGTAGTTTGTTGAGCAGTCTTAATAGTATACAGCTTATCGGTATTTTGAGTTCACGAATTTTTGTCACCTGAGATGACAGAGATGCATGTTTTACATACATGATAGATAAAAATGACTCAAAATCTACTACAAAAGCACGAGTGTATTATTTCCACCCTCTCCTCCCTCCATAAATCTTTTGTTTCGTTAGCTTTTAAGCTTTTTATGATTTACTGACATCATGTTTTTGCATTCCTTTAGATATTCCTCCTTATTTGCTTTTTTTCTCGTTGTTTTGACATAATGATTACTTTAGACAAATATGTAATTGTGTCAAAATGTACTTTATTGATTTCTTTCTACTAAAGAGATTATGACAACTACAAAATAAAAACATATAATGTTGCATAAAACACAAAACATTTAGTTGTCCAAGCTAAGTGTAGATTTGGTCAATTCTAGTTTACTACCATTTTGACTACCATTATTAGCATTAAAATGGCAAAACATTATTGTTTTGTTTTTTTGGTTTTTCACTTATTCATTGCGAAGTACAAGTTTCCAGTAGTAATGTATACAGCAATGCTAACCACGCACTTGGTCTGGAGCTCGGTCCCCAGTCGGTATACACGTCTAAACCTCGCATAACCAGTAGTAAATCTGGTAAAGAAGGAAGATAGGGAGGGTGCAAGGCTAGCAATCTGATCCCATAAAAGCAACATCACTGCCACTCAAACTGCAAAGCTGAAGTTTGAAATCCTACATTCCATTTGGAATGCAAAGGAATTCAGTGATGATGATGATGTGGTGAGAGCTGGCTGCAAGCCGAAAATTGTAGACAGCAATTCACGTCAATGTCACGTCCCGAATCGGGGTTATGACACAAACAATAACAAAGCTTAATCGTGAGGAACTCACGACCAAACACAGGAGACTTAACGTGTGCAAATACGATTCGCAGATATATGGCCTGACTTTCTAAGAAACGACCGCAAGCAGTACAGAATAACCTTCAGCAAGAAAACAAATAATTCAGAAAACGTTGCTTCTTCGCTGACAATAATGTACATAAAAATCTATAAATATCTCTTGATTTTCTGAATAAACGATCTGTTGCCTGACACTTGTCTTCTGTCGTTACAATGATAATAATTAGAAATAATAACAGTCATTCTAATATATTATTGTATTATTTCCTGGTAGGCATGATATTGTGCGTCGGTGGCACAGCCGGTTAGGATGCTCGATGACTATGCACATGGTCCGGGGTTCGATCCCCGACCGACAAACTCCTTCACCTCGCTAAGCCAGAAATAAAGCTGGTAAAGAGGAAAAGTTGGGCATGAGGCTAGCAACCTCATCCTGTAAAAACAAACACTGCTACAGGAACTTCAAGCCTGTAGCTTGAAGCTCTATTTCTCACTGGGAACGTGAAGGAAAAATAAAAAAAGGCATGATATTAATCACAACTTTACCAGTGTGGTGGTGTGATGCAGACAATGTGTGCTCAACGGAATATTCTTCTCACATATTCCCACAGTTCAATACTGCATTAGCAACAGAACACAAAATATATGTTTGAACATTCTATTTCATGTCGTTTAACGTAAACCAAAATCACACGCTCAGTGATTGGTTAAAGAATATAAACTATATATATATATATATATATATATATATATATATATATATATAGCGGTTTGATCACTTGAAAATATACCTTGGCTTCCGTGTCTTGTCTTCTGCTGTTACACTAGTTTATCCCTTTAGGCTTTTTCTTCTCACTTGTTTTTTAGAAGTCGCCTTGATAATAAAAATGTGATCTAATTTCCTAAAAATTAAACGTACTACTTGTCAACATATTATATTCAATAATAATAATAATATTTTTAATGCTATATGCATTCTAGGTTTACTTAACTTCTGCCAAACTATTTCACATCTCTGCTTTTTAATCGTGTACATCATATTCCGTCTACAATTATTTTTATAATTTAAGACGTACAAACTATTTTGAGTTTGTTTTTGTTTTTTTTGAAAAATATTTACTTATAAAAAGATTTTAACAACTGGAATTCGAATCATAATGGTTGTTTCAAATTCTTAGCATTCATATACTCTGTGTTTTATGCTTGTAAATGGTAAGCAAGTGAAAACGTCAGACTGTTGAAGTTGCTGTTTGCACACTCTGATGTTAATATCGGTATATGTAGGTATGTGTAGGGTGGATGCATCACAGTAGTAATTTAAATGCCTTTTAAAATTGACCGAAATCTTTCCAGTTAGACCTAAAGTATGTTATTCTTGAAAGTACCTTATTGTATTGAAATCAAGCCAGTTAATCTTCATTTGAAGGTAGATTTCGTCATAAAGAGACCTTAGAAACAATAGATTACTCGGTAGCTTTGTCTTCCTAGTTTGAAACTCTGATGGGGTTTTAGGTGGTGCTCGAATTGATGTCTGTTCTTCACGTGATCTACCTTAAAATCAATCAAATCTCTACTGTCAAGGAACTTAACCCTAAGTTCCTATGATTTGCAAAGACGCTCAGAATCGACAACCATACTAAGTATGATTATTGACTTTAACTCCAAAAAACACAAGGACCAACCAATAAGAAATTGTATTCTTCGACAGTTAAAATCAACACTCTGTACAAAGTCTGTAGGCAAATGTTTTACAAAAAATATAATGTACTTTTATTCGTATTCTTTCGTCTTCTTCCAACTTGTACACGATTGAACCATTCGTGCCTTCGAGTTACCCACCAACTGGCTACCAGTTCCAATAAACAAATGTTCAATGTTCGCGTCCATTGATAGCTACTCTTCAATAATGGACTTTATTTATTTCATCTAAAATTGAGGATGGATAGAAAGACTGAAGTGCTTATATGTCTTTGTATAACATATTGTTATTTTTAAAATTTAAAGCAGTAATAATACAATCGCTGAAAATTCCGTATTTATTCATTATTTTATGGACTGGTTGACTAACTTGTGTACGTGAAAGTCCATGCCAGCCTAATCCTATTTCAGCTAAGGTTGCTCGATGAGAAAGGTGGTGCCTCGGTTCACGTCGTAAGTACCCAAGACACCTCATTCAATAGGTCCTAACAAACTTATCGATTGATTTTGACTCTACACTCAAACTCACACGACAGACTGATCAATAGCACATGTGAAAAAGATCTGTAATATTTTCATGTGTGTCAATATTAACGGTCATGCCTTAGAGCTGTGAAGTATGACGAGATGAGCTGCTTTACAGTACATACGTGCATCAATAGATAAAAAGATATCATTCTTGCCCTAAGGCTGGTGTAACTTGGTCTTCTTGTAGCTATTCTGAAATTTCATCAACAGTCAGTCGATTAAGGCTGATGAAAGCGTTGTTCGCTGTCTTATTTTCAGGATGAATATCAATGTATGTCACTCTGATTTATCTATCCTGGATTCTAATAAACAAGTTATGAACTTATTTAATATTCAAGTATTGGTTTTTAGGGATTTGGATGATTGGTTACAGGATTTCATCATGAGCTGACATTGATTAGAGAACCATTGGAAAACCTGGGAGTGCTGGACAGCTGTTTCGTCCTAGTTTGGAACTCTTCATCAGTAACCACCTGGGTTCGAACCCAGGACCTTCTGGTTACAAGGCGAGCTCGTATATCATTACGTCACTGGGACCCGATCCAACGGCCCATGTATTCTAACTTCTGCCAATTCACGATATAGCGCAACCGCTAACCAATATCTTCGGCGAGTATTTGTCCTCACACTCGACCTGCTGCACCCTACTGGTCACGACTTCACACTATGACATTTTGATTCTGTGCATGAAAGCCACAGAGATGATACAAAGGCTTTCACTAACTTTTGTCTCCTGGCGTTCATTACTTTTTCTATAACGAACTAGATGTGGTGACAGCCTTCTCTAAGATTGGTATTCTTTTCACATTCAGGTGCGTATTTGGTTATCCTTCCCCAAAAGAACAAACAACAAGCTTTCATGAAACAGCTAGATATATCACTACTCCGTCTACAAGATTATAAAAAACTTGTCTTAAAATGTTGCCTTCCAGACTCCTTTCCACTTTAGTAGCTCCTGTCACATAAGTAGAAAAACTCGGATAATGTTGTTTAGATTAGAAACTTTCTTTCACCCTTAATGTTTACCTTGGCTGTAGTGGATAGCTTTTAGAGTCGAATTTCCCTCTCTCTCTCTCTCCCTCATTGTCTTTCAATCTTTACAGTGTTTAATATTAGCAATCAAAGATTGTATTCATCCTCTCCCTTTGCTTTTTTCTTCTTGTTCACACAATTTAAAATTTAATCACTACTTAGTATTCAAGTAGTCCACATTCAGAACTTTTCATTCTCTTAATTTCTATTCTGTTCTACTTTGTAAATTAATTTCTACCTGTCATCATACCTGTGGTTTTCTCATACCATTTTAAGTAATTATAATCTTTAATTAATCTCATTATTGTTACTAAGTCTACTCACCAACCGCTTTTCATATTATTTTGTTAAGTGCAATTAACTACTCTAAGTCTAATTAAATAATACTTGCAACCATAGTTTTTTGTAACCTGAAACCTATTGAGCGACTATCGCACATGGATAGAAAATGAAATCTCAACTCTTAGTCTGAATGACTAACGACTATACTACAGTTTCCGAGTTTCCTCTACCATAGAAAGTAATCTAAAACGATACATTTGTGTACATTCTGCTGCCCTATATCTTTTTTTTCTACCGTATGTATTACTTTTATATCATATTGTTATTTTCTCTAATACTCCGAGTAGAACATTGGAGTACAACAGCACATCTCTATTTCGGCCTTTGTAGCTGGCTCCACAATCTCCATGTCACCGTCGGACGCCTGACGAGCTGCTTCCTATCTGAGTTTCACGTGACGGCCTGGTAGATGGTGTCACTAGACGATCTCAGTATGTGTCCAATCCAACTCCATTTCCTTCTGCATATTTGTTGGGTAATAGCATTATTTTGTGGTTCCTTCCCGGAGTTCCCTGTTGCAGATCCTTTCTGGTCATCCTATCTTCAGCATGTTGCCAGCGAAGGTAGCTGTCGATATAAGTTTGAAGCCTGTTGGAAATGGTTTTTGTGTCGCGTCAAGCATCTGAAACAATATATAGATGCACTGATTTGACAGTGTTGAAAATCCAGATCTAGATTTGAACACTAATTTCAGAATAGTGAAAGTTTGTCTTGCATTTACGATCCTGCTTTCGAAATCACCATCCATTTCCCTTACAGTTGAAACAGTACTGCCTAGGTAGGTGGAAGAAGGGGCTTCCTCTCACTGATAACGATTGGTGCTTTTTGTTGTAGGTTAGGTTTCTTCGTTACTTCTATCTTCTTCATGTTCACCTGAAGTCCTGCCTCACTGCCAACTTGTTGGCTTTCACCTGTAAATCTTCTACTTTGTTTGACATAAGAAGATTCTGACTTCGCGGATGATTTATGTCTAGAGTCTTATAGTCGACCTGACGTATTCCTGTCATCTGGCTCCCCAGGGTCTGGCTACCATAATCGGGAGTGTCTTCGTTTATTGTGAACCGTCTTGTTTGACTCCTCTCTTCGCCTCAGAGGCTTTGATTTTACAACATATCTCACTGATATTTGTAGTAATTTCATTTTCAAATATTAAAAGTAATATTATCTTATTCCCATTCACCTTTTTTTCTTCTTCTAAAGGTTCTGGTACAAACTTCTCGTCTTCATCATCATCAGTGCCGACAATTCCAGATCCATGCTCCATTGATCTGTCGAGAACAAAAGCTCAGCCTGTCAATGTAAGCATTTGATATTTCAGAATACCTATATTCCTATATGGTGATAATAACTAAAATACATTACAGTTATGTGCAACTTTATAATCTTTATGTAAAATAGTTTCTTTTACTATTATCTATAAAATTAATTAGTGAACTACCTTCCTTTTTGAAAAAACAATAATAATTTACAGCCAATCTCGTTGAACGTAAGTAAGCAAATAAACCTTGGAAGTTGTACTTCTACGGATTTAGTCGAATTCAAGGTAAATTTCATTCTGAACAACTTCGCCTAATTTACTATTTCGCTAGTTTTCTAGGTGGTCCCAACCCCGGGAAAAAAGGGAGGGCTGGGTGTGAGACTAGCGACCATACTCCAAAAAATCACTCCCATAACTACAGAAACTTAAAAGCACAAGATCATTTCAAAAATAAAATTACTCCTTTTCTGGAATCGGAGAGATGAAATGACGCGGGCTGGTGAAAACCTTCGGGAAGCCAATCATCTGACGTGTCTTCTTCTTTCGATGAACGCAAAAATAAACATTGAGACTTGGAATGTTTGCATAATGTACGAAGCTGGGAAGGCTGCCCAGGTTGCCAAAGAGGGGGGGGAGATATGGGTTGAGACCATTATCTAATTCAAGGAACCTTCAAAGTCGAACTGAATCCTTCAAAAGAACTGGAGACAGACCACAATTCATTTCAACACTAAGAAACTGAAGGACAAATCTACAAGATATACCTTCACTGCAGCCATCAGAGCAAAGTTGGAGACACTACGTGACATCACTTAAGGAAGAATATTGGGACTCTCTGAATATGACGTTCTAAGAAACGTGTACAGCCATTTTTTAAGAAGAAGGAAAAGTCAAGACGAGGAATGACTCTCAATGGACACCTGGAAGCTAATAGAAGAAAGGAGGATGGGGAAACAGAAGATGACTTAATGCAAAGATGGACGACAGATGGAGAAACTGAGTTCAACTTACTTAGAACTGAATAAAGCAGTGAAGAAGATTGCTAGGAAAGACAAAAGACAGTTCTACGACACACTGGCTACTGAAGCAGAACAAGCAGGCCGCAGGTAAAAGAGACCTCAGGACGTTGTATCAGATAATCAGGTCTCTGTCTCGGGAAAGATCAACGCAGTTCAAACCTATAAAAGATAGTCAAGGGAACCTATTTTCCAAGGAAGAGAAATAAATAAGACAATGAGCTGATTATTTCAAGAGACTCTTGAATCGACCATCACCTGCAACTCGTTCAGAAATACCACCAACTACGGGAGATCGTGCCATGCGAAGATGAGAGGCTGTAGGCAATCGTCGCGCCAGCTAAAGAGGGTCTTCTGGAATAGGATAAAGTGAAGATGTGCTGTTAAGGCCGTATTTTCCACGCGGAACCCAAGGAAACAGTGGTAATAATAATTCATTCTGAACAAAGATTAATTGGTGAACCCTCGAAAACCTCAAGGATTAGTTCCTTACCTATAACATTAGAATACAGTAGCATTAATATTCCAATTAACAGAAGTTAGAATCCACAGATTGTTAGATTCCAACTCAATAGCAAAAATTTCAAATGATCTAACATATGTTAATAAATCAGGATTTATTTCCAACATTATTCACTAGCATTTGTTGCTTGTTTCAAGCTCGTTTCGGTGAATAATTATTTTTTTCAATGGCTACAATAGTAATCATGTTAATCTCGTAAGCTAATGGACTCTGAAGAGATTTCTGACCGATATCGGTTCTTGATTTCATTTACCCGGAAAACAATCAAATAAGAACGAAGAAGTCAACTTCTCAATAATAGCAGTACACTGCTAACGCATAACCATCTTCAAAGATGAATTTCCTAGATTTCTAACGAGAAGTTATAATCGATCGAAGCTATCAAGCCTTGGTGATAACACGTGATGATAGTGGTTATTGTATTTTGAATAGATTAAAATCCAATGATTAAATAATAAACGTGCGCATTTCTTTTTTGACTTCAGAATTTGAACTGTTATCTATTATAGTGTGGTGTTTTTTCCCCATTTATTTTAGATGCTATTCACCTTTCCTACTCATACACATATTTCAATGTCTTAAGGTTTCTATTTAAATTTTCTACCTTTGAGGCTGATTCAATGTTTTCTTCTTAAAAAAATGAATTTTATACAACTCTGCGGTGTTTATGATGAATAATGGCATAATCAAATAAACTCATTAATAATTAAGCTTTATTTTCATATAAATACAGTTGTTTTTTCTTCAAAATTATTCAACATTTAATATTTTGTTTTGAATAGCGTTTGATTAATTTTCAAAGGAATATAAGATACAATTACCCCTCCCTTTCTTTTCTCTAAAGGGGCTTTATAAAACTTGTATTTTTATTCAACTTAACCCCAGTTGAATTTGCATGACACTAGCCAGTTCAGTTAGTTGTGAATTAATTGCTAATTATACCAATGTCATTTCTTCGCTTCTAGTTAAAATAGATAATCTGACTGATTATTTCAATACATGTTTTTTTCCTTATAAAATAATGCTTTATGTAGATAAAGTAATAAGAAGACGTAATTTGTCTGAATCGTGTAATGTATTTGCGCAACACATTTCGAACAATCTGATCCATCACACACCAACTTGTCATAGGAATATATATGAAATTAATAAAGAGGTAAGAGGTGAGAAATAGAAATAGACTTAGGTCAAGTTAAAAGGACATATTCAAGGTCAAAATAACAATGAAGACCACTAAACCAAATAGCAGAGGTAATAGTACATCTGTTATGGTATCAAAACAAAGTTTAACAAGGATAGTAGGTTTATTGTGATGACGAATTGTTTTTGAACGCATAGGGCGTCCACAAACTTTAGGATACGCCCCAAACACGTTTTATAGATAGGTTTAAAAGATGTGTGAACATCAATTTTATGTTCTCAGCATTAATGGGTTCTGAGGATTCTATTTGTTTCTAGAGCCATTTAGGTATATACTCTGAAGCCAGCGCTAACTTTCAGAGATCGATGAGTCCTCCCTCCTATGTGTGTGTCAACACGTATATTCAAATTGGCAAATACAGTGGGATGTAATATCATTTTTCTTACATTCACAGGGCTTAGATGGATACCCTGACTTTACATTCTCAATTATTATGATATTAGCTGCATAAAAAGTATTTTTAACGGCAGCGTGCAGTCTTTGTCTAGTTATCAAGCTGCTATGATGCCACATATAGGGTAGCTTGGTGTACACGTCTTTCTTATAGGCGAGTTGCAGAATGGAAGAAATGGAGGTGGATTGGCCATACTCTGAGAAAACCATCAAGTGACATCACTAGACAAGCCATTGCTCGAGTGGAACCCGAAAGGGAAGCGGCGAGTTGGTCGTCAGTGCAAGGGTGCCTTGGAGGAGGTCATGTGAAGAGGAAATGAAAACGTGTAGGCAGACTTGGAGCCAGGTGAAGACTCTAGCAGAGAACCGAACGCAATGGAGATGAGTGGCTGAAGCCCTCTGTTCCTCTAGGAATTAAAGGAAACAATAATAATAATATTGTATGTATTAGCAAGTTGAAACAAATTTTAATACAGAAAGTTAAGTAACTATCAATGAAATGAAATACAGACTTCAAATGTGTGTAGACCTGTGCATTGAAACTGTCATTTATTTTTGTAAATTTTTCATTCCACCACCCACCTCATTGTATATTTCTTTGTTTCTTTGTAAGATGAAAAGAAAAACAAAGGTAAATTTCAGAAGAAGGAAAAAAAGTGGTGTTAAGTATTTTCACCTATCACTTTATATTATCATAGGCTATTTTGTTTTTATACTATTCACTTGAATACTATAATATTATTATTTATTCATATCATATTTTTCTTTAGTCTTATAACCATTCTGTACCTTACACTTCTACCATTAAAAGAAACATAACAGATTAAATTAAATATTCACGTAAGTTCACTGTTTGGTGCGTGTGTGTGTACACTATTATTATTATTATACCATCTGTGAAGCTGAATTAACATTCGTTTGCCTGTACCAATCAATGGGTGTCTTCTTATCTTCCTCTCTCTCTCTTTTTTCCTCAATGATCGTGACTGTAATTACACCTCCTCCTGAGTTCGTGTATCATTATTTGCACACGTGTGTGTGTGTGTGTGTGTGTGTGCGTAAATGTTCTTACGTGATTGATTTTCTACATGAATTTAATTAGTGGAATTTATGGAGATGAATTTGATCTGAAAGCACAGTTTGATATATATCTGTGAAAAATATTTTGTAATTAAGCTGCCTCTTTTTTTATTTGGTCTAACTTATTCTGCGATTGTATAGTATAATAACTGAGAGTAGTGCTACAATCCGCTAACTAAATCTGCTTTTCTTTGCAGTATAATCTTTTACTTTTGGCTTTTTAATTAATTGATTTTGATGAATAGATAGATTTGTGATTGAATTGTTCAAAATGTGTCTTACAATTACTTTCAGGTATATATGTAACAGTGTTTTTACCCCTCCCCAGATGAAACTTGTCTTCCATTTTTTTTCCTTCACGTTCCCCAGTGGAACATAGGGCTTCAAGCTAGTGGCTTGAAGTTTCTGTAGCAGTGTTTATTTTACAGGATGGGATTGTTAGCCTCATGCCCAACCTTTCCTCTTCACCAGCATTATTTCTGGCTTAGCGAGGTGAAGGAGTGCGTCGGCCGGGGATCGAACCCCGGACCATGTGCATGGTCGGCGAGCGTCCTAACCGCTATGCCACCGACGCACCATTAACTCTATTCAAATTGTTTTAGAAAGATTGGCTGTTCCAAATTCTATATTAACTTGAAAATGAAGAGGAAACAAATCTAGTTTCTTTTCATAACAGAGATAGAATTGGTCAGATCAAAACCTGACATCTGTCCATGGATTTTTTGACTACGGGCTTTTGCCAGTCATGTGGGGTGGTATAGACTGTCTGGTTGTCGGGTCGTAGGGGTGCTAAGATCCAATGGCTTGTAGACTTTTGGCAATATGAC